GAAAAGTCTGTTCGGCAGACACTAGCGAAATAGAGTTCCAGAAAATCCAGGAACTGCTTCGAGAGAACGGATTTCCGGACAGATTCATCATAAAGAATACGATGGAGAGAGAAACAAAACCTGTCATATCCACCGTAGAAAAGAAGACCCTTTTCCTCAAAGTCCCATTTCAAGGGGGTACGGCAAGCGAACTCCTAGACAGACGCCTCAACCAAGTCGTTTCACGAACCTTCCCAGCAGCCAGAATTCGGGTATTATTCTCAACCAACCCAATCTTACATGGGGAAGGTAACGATAGGTTACCAGCGCAGACCACCTCCATGTGCATCCACTCCTTTACTTGCTCCTGTGAAGCGGGTTATATTGGTCGCACGAGTCGGCGCCTATCCAAAAGAATAAAGAAACAACTCCGGGCATGGCTGAGAAAAGGTGAAGTCAGGAGCATAAACAGCTCTATTCTGGCGCACATGGTCAATTCCGGACATCGCGTGGATCCCAACGAAGCTTTCCGAGTCATTTACAATGTCCCACCAAATTATCAAAAGTCCCTGGGTCAGTGCCTGCTGGCAGTAGCAGAAGCGACCGCTATCAGGTTGATGAAGCCAGCAGTCACCTAGCGACATGCACTCATCCGCGCTTTGTTTGTCTCCCTCCCCTAGACTGCTACACCAAACCCTGCCCTCATAGCCAGCTCCCTCTTATTGACCACTCCCCCCCCCAATCCCCAGACTCACTTGTACGAACAGACGAACACGTTTTAAAAGGCACCCCTTCCCGTATAAATGCATTGGCCTGACGAGAATTTATCGAAAGTATACGCAAGCCCGCCAAATACTCTTCTGAATTCTCTGATGGGAATGCTTGCAACTTTTCATCAATAAATTGTTCAATATAAAAAAAGTAAACGCGTGTGGAAGAGTAAAAAAGAACCCACCGCGAGGAGGGCGAAAAGTAGGGAAAAAAACGGGAGCACGAATGAATTCGAGCGTGGCAACAGGAGGGGGCAGCGGCGTTCATTTTAAGTTCACGCTCCCCTGCCGCCTACACGCCACATACGTTGAGTTGCAGCTTTTTTAATTCCCTCACAAATTAATTTTTCAACTTTTTTCAATTAATTAATATTTTAGAGTAGAGCAATATATTCAAGGTTTATGTGCAAAGACTGAAAGTTGATGTTGGTTTTTGCCCCGAAGTCCCTCAGCCAGTGCGAGACAACTATGTAATTTTCACAAGCTGCCAACAGGTAGACAGTAATAAAATGTATGCTCTTATTTAACCTACTGACAGCACAAGTACTACCTGACAGCCCAGACATACCGCTTCCTTGGAGAACTTTTGCCTCATGTATTCGCTAATGACATCGTTGCCAAATCCAGAGTCGTATATAACTGCTAGGGGGTTTGGCAGATTTCAATAAGTTCAGTTGACCCAGTTGTGAAACATTGGCGGCCTCGGTTGGAGTCGAACTCACACAGCGGGGGCAGGTTTTTGCGCAGCCAACGCTCTACCACTGACCTACGAGGCTCACCGTGAGTCGTGATTTTAAGCAAACTTGAATCGATTTTACCCACCCAACTTACTTGGCGGAACTTTGATTGACCCGAGTATGAAAAATTCGCGGCCTCGGTTGGAGTCGAACTCACACAGCGGGGGCAGGCTTTTGCGCAGCCAACACTCTTCCATTGAACTACGAGTTCATATTTGAGTTCGATCACCGTAATCGGTGATTTCCGCCATTTGCTCGAGAGCAGGGACGGTGACTGTGGCCAGGTATAGTGAAAGTAGACGGGCCGTCATCTACCCCACTCCAAACCCTCATCCGCTTCAACCGGCGACAAGACAAAGTCGAGATGACCGAGCAAGAATCAGGCCTATGCCGCTTTCTCCAGATGCAGCCAGAGACACCGCTTAACTTAATCTTTAGTGACAGTAGACTTTGCCCGGGTACCACTGCACTGTCTACCCTCACTCACCTATAGTAGGTGTCTAGCCTGACTCTAAGAAGCAGGGGCTCGAACTGAAACTAACATTACTGCTACTTCTAATT